GGGACAGCTACACTACTTGAAGAATTGTGTTGAAGACTATGAAAAACATGCTCAAGGCTTAAACTGTGCTGCCTAGAGCCAACAAGATACAAGACATGCCTGCTCAAGAAGGATGCATTTCAGCAGGAACCCCAATATAGACCCCAAAATACTATAGTCCTTATTATGGGGACCCCCAAAATGGTACCCCTAATTTTGGGAAACCCCCATTTGTGTAACAGGCATCTAGGACCATAGCATTGGCAACTATGTAGGCTCCTGTACTCTTCGAGCACCAAGCGATTCATGCACACTATCCTAAACTCAAACAACAAAGAAGCCGACAGCAGTATTCCTTCTTACCCACCCAACCAGTACATAATGACTGTAGCATAATCATACATTGATCGAAAAACTTAGTAGACTTACTTGCTGTCAACTCTAAAGCTGCTTCATAAGCCCTGCAGCCACCACCCTGTTACAAAGCTACTTGGAGAAGTCTTCCTGAGCAACCATTTGCAAGCATTGCCTTCAAATAAATGCCTACGGAGGTGTTTAACAAAACGCTTGCATGAGCTACAGTCTATTTTTCCACAAACTTAATGGGTAGGGCTTCATTATTGGCTAGGGAACGCATTACAGACTATATAAAACCACCAAAGAGGCCCCATGTCTGCCCTTAATGGCTGCTTTAAAACCCTAGTACTGGCAGTACCTCATAATTTGAGCTATACTCTAAACTCCTAGTATATCCCCCTTAGTAGCCCCTATAGTACTCCCTTATATAATCCCCTATATAATCCCCCTTTCAGGAGTTTAGACGATAGCTCATTTGGTTTTCCGAGAATCAAACCCAAGGCCAAGGCATGTTCCTTACTCAAAGCTCTTTGGGGTTGCCGCTATACCCTGATCCGCAAGGGCTGAGAGCTAAACTCCAGAAGATGCAGTTTAGAATACAGGGTTTAGGGTTTAGGGATTAGGGTTTAGGGATTAGGTTTTAGGGATTAGGGAAGAAGTTTGCAGGAGGCTGATTGCAGGGTAGGTTCCTCAACTTTACATTTCAAACCCTCAACTTCCCTCAAACCTAGGTCTTAGATCCCACTTCCTAAACCCAAAGCCATACACCCGAACTTTAAATCCCTATATGGCCTCAACATAACACCTACATAAGCAGCTCCAAACCCCACAGCCGTAAACCCTAGACCCCAAACATTAAGAACCCTACATTAAACGCTGAACCCTACACCCTAAACCCTTCCGTGACTCTAAGATCCAAACGCAGAGGACTGCAGGACCGCTGCAGATCCAGAAGGACCCACGTGCAAAAGCATCGGTCTGTTGGCTATATAGGATTTAGCGGTGAGGAGTGAGGAATTAGGGTTTAGGGTTTAGGGTTTAGGTTTCCATGCATGAGGCTGTTGGTTATATAAGGGTTATATTGCTAGCTATTAGGGTTTATAGGGGATGTATAACGTTGACGAAGAGAATATGTAGGGTTGTATGAGGGTATATAGGGGAAAGTAAAAGAACATGGAAACTGCTACTATATCATTTGGGCTTAAGGACTTTGAGCTGGAAATTTCGGTTTTAAGGGGTGCTGGGATTTTATCGTAGCTACTAAGGGGCACTCTAAATTGAACCCTAACCCTCAACCCTAAACATAAAGGTATTAATGCGTCTATTTTCAAGCAACCAAACAGGGACTATATACAGGTTTGCGAATTGATTTGTTAGGTTTACCTTCTCAGGGGATCTTGCTCTGAATCGTAGAAGCACGTCATTTTCTTGCCCTTTCATAGGAGCATTGAACAAGCCCAGGGGTTTAGGATTTAGGGTAAAGGGCTGAGGGTTTAGCGTTTAGGGAGTTCGGGCCAGGAAATTAAAGTGTTTGAACACAGCAAAGGGGCTTAGAGTCTTGGCATCTTCGGGAAGACCTGTGGAGAAGCTCTGTGTCACTATGTACTAACAGTTGTTACCTTTATTCCACGCTGCAGGTCGTAAAGCCACAAACCGTTGCAACTTCCCCTTTATACCCCTCCAAATAGGAAGCATATCCTGGCAGACAATGGATGTTTTGAAAACCTTCCCCCATGTTCATAGCTTCAAGCCCTTTAAATCCTCGCCTGGGACACCACACAGGTCTTCATGATTTTGGGAAACTCCCGCATACGTGTGGCATATAGCTTCACAAGCGACTGCGATTCTGGAAATGGCCCTTAAATTCTAAACCTTAAACCCTAAACCACATAAACCCCCATGGGCCCTAACCAGAACTTTGACAAGCCCCCTTGGGTGCATCTCTCAGAACAATCCCTGGATAAAGCCTAACATGGCCCCCCAAAGTTTCTCTATGATGCCACCAAGACAGTATTGTCCATGACAGTTCCATGTCCTTTCCATTTGATTCTTCAGTATCCCTATACACACCGATATACCCCCACATATCCCCATGTAGCCCTGTACAGCCGTTTGTAGCCCTATGTATGTCCCTCAACCCTAAACCTTAAACCCTACCCTATGTATGTCCCCATATGAGCCCTGGACCAAATTTGTAGTATATCCCTTAATAGGTCCCCTCCAAACACCCTATATGGTCTCCTATAGATCCCCCCCAACCTAGTCTAAACTCCTAGTATCCCCCTTAATAACCCCTATAGTAGTTCCCTATATAATCACCTATATATCCCCCCTTTAAGGAGTTTAGATTATGTCCCCATATATGCGCGCAGGATTTCTGGGTATGTAGGACACCTGGCCTGCAAAAATCTGAAAAGCAGGGCCAGGCCATCCTGCAAGCTCCATGCCTGCGTTTCTAGGGTTGTTCTTTAAGGGTTTAGGGTTATATTTGGGTTTAGGGTTTAGGGTTTAGGGTTTAGGGGGGCTACACAGGGGTGATGGAAAAGAAAACGACAAAACTACTATAATGGGGTTATGTAGGTTTAGGGTTTAGGATGTACATAGGGATTATATCAGGTTATATAGGGGTAATGTAGGGGTCATAGACAGATAATGGAAAAGAAAATGGAAACTACTATTCAGGGTTTAGGTTTCAGGGTTTAGGGTGTAGGGTTAAATGCATGTACCATAAGAAGAAAACCCCATCATCTACGATGCATTAACATTATGATAATTTGCTTCAAGTTTCTTAACAGCAATCAAGTGTTGTTGCTGTCAGACGGACTGAATCTGCCACATCTCTCCCCCGATATGCCCATGTCCTGTTCAATTTCTGGGAGTCCCTAGTATACGCCGTATTAGGGTCCATGAATGTACTGACACTCCCGAATGAAATCGCAGAACGTGTGTGGACCACTAGCCTCGCCCTAATGTCAAACTCCACCGAGTAGGTACGTCCCCATGATCTAAAGTCCTTTATAGGGAATGCTTCATGTCAGGGGCTGGGAGCGACTTTGATATTCGGAGGAGGTGATTACCCACAAACATGCACATCGTCCTAGTTCCCTGAACCCTAAACCCTAAAACCCTAAACCCGGACATCCTAGTTCCCTAAACCCTAAACCCTTAACCGCGTGTCAGGCATACTTGAACTTGTGAGATGGCTCCGTGCCTGCTCCACATGCTGATCCGACAGATCCTGGGCTGCAAAACAGTTTAGGGTTTAGGGTTTAGGGGTTTAGGGTTTAGGGTTTGGGTATTGCCCCCACCCAGTAACAGTCTATATTAGGGGTCCTATTAAGGGCTATATGTAACCATACTATAGTTATTATCCAACTGTTCCTAAGGAGGGGCAGTACCCAAGGTTTCGGGAATTGATTTAAGGCTTAGTTGGAACTTAAAGTTTAGAGTCCCCCTGAAGTAGATAGAAATCCCCCAAAACCAGAGTAAGCCGTAAACACCCCATATTCAATCTACTTAGGGGGGACTGTCGTAGGGTTTGCGCTGGGAACGGCTCTGTTGTAAAATGAGGGCCCCGCGACCAGCGTAGCAAGAAGATCTGCGATCGGGTCCACATCCTTCTGCACCTGTTCAAACTCCCAACTTGACATGCGGGAAGAAACCCTAAACCCTAAACCTAAACCCTACAGGTGAGACCTGTCTTATACAGCGAAAATCCAAGGGAATGCCTTTGATAAGAATGTACTTGGAAGGCCATGATGGGGACTTAGTCAGTAGGTTCATACTTGGGATAACTGGGGTTATTAAGTAGTTTCAAGAGGTTATAGGTATCCTTCCTAAGCCACCCTGACCAGCCAAACCAGAGGCAGGATCGATTCTATATCCGCCCCCTGCTTACTTACAATGCATAAGACAGAAAAATAAATCAGCATGAGATTCCTAACTTCCCGTGGCCACCTGCTGAAGCAGGACTATGCTTACACAGGCCAGTTCGTGGATAGATACCCGTGGGCACACCACCTAGGATATGGCTAGAGCTTTCTTATGTAGAATGTAGAGTTCAAGCACACTAAACCCAAAAAGAACCTGCTTGGAGATTCAAGGCAATTAATGGTAACCCCACTATTTCTGGTGGCTATAGTCCACCCAAACCATATCAGGGGACCTAGGGGGCTGACACGTGGGTGCTAAGGACAGTGGATTTTGATTACCTTGAACCTCGAAGTAGCCCGAAACCGTGCGGCTGTCGATTCACCTCATTCTTGAAGGGCCAGGGGTAAGTATCGGCCTCTATAAGCCTAGAAGCCATATACTAACTAACCAATGTACTATATCCCCCTGACCCTAAACTCTACACCATACATGCTATAGTAGTTTCATTGCTGTTTTCCATTATTACTAAATCCCCCTGACCCTCAACCCTAAATGCTGTAGTCCTATCTCCCATTGTCTTTGCCATTATTACTCAGTCTCCCCTAAACCCTAAACCCTAAACCCATAAACCCTGACCCTAACCCCCAAGCCCTAAACCCTAAACCCCCAAACCCTAAACCCTCCAAGTTCAACAAGATGGGATCCCAAACGGGCCTCGGCCCAGCGAGGAATCGCCTTGGACCACTCGCACAGGTACCCAGTCCTGGGTTACTGCTGACCCAGACCCCCAAAGGGATCTAAGAGTTAGATCCCCTAGAACCATATGGGAAATTATTTACGGATTATATAGGGGTTCTAATGGGTTTATATAGGGGATCTAATTTTTAGATCCTCCCAGGGGTCTGGGAAGTTGTGGGTTTGAGGTTTAGAGTTTAGGGTTTAGGATGTAGGGCTTAGAGTTTAGGGTTTAGGATGTAGGGTCTAGGGCTCGCCCTTTAGGGTTCAGGGGTGAGGGGGGGGCCTAGGGCTTAGGGTTTAGCTAATTAATGGCAAGTCAAGTGAGGGAATAGCTTTGGATGTAGGGTCTGGGGCTAAGGGCTCCAATAAGCAATGGAGAATCGAACGAAAAAAAACTAGGGTATGGGCGAAAGTAACTCAAGTAATGGGAAAATGAATTGATAAGAAACAGAAAATGAAGTGGGAACTACCATCTTGTTCAGTGCTTAGGGTTTGGGACTACATCGGGATATTTTAGAAAATGAAATCGAAACTGCGGTCCAAGAGCACTCAAAAAGTAACCATAGTCGAGAAACCCGTTTACTATGCATCAATTCTGTTGAAACTAAAACTTGTATAATACCTGTACTGCCCCATTACACGACAACCCGATCCCCAACAAGACCTGGCTTCTCGGGAATTTGCGACCATGCAGAAGTACATGGGGTTAAGACGATGCAGACCCATGAGGCTCAGGAGCAGGGCATCTACATGGATGAGGAAAAACGGAGATGGATGCACCGTGGTTCAAACCCGCCGGAAGCTATAACGTGCTGGCGAACCAATGCCACCCACCACGCGTTGGCCACGATGATGCCTGAGATGAGCGTGTGTCTCGGCAATTGCCACATTTGGTGGCCTTGTCGACTCCATGGGAAATCTGACGGAATAGTAGGCACGACACTAGAGCCAAACCAGGAGGGCAACTATGACAGCGACCGGTTCGATCAGGACGTCACTTGGCTTATGGACAGAGGTCACCGAAGCTGGCGGGGCCATGGAGAACATCGTGGTAATGACCCCTGTACAACCACTATAACTCCATGAAGGGAAGCGATATCAATTGTGGCAACTTAGATAAAATAAGCTCCTCAATGTCCATGTTATGGTCCCTAAACCCTAAAGCGAACCTAAACCCTAAACCCTACATAGTAGCTCCCATTTGATTTTCCATTGGATTCTCCCTTTCCCCTTAATCCTACACCCCAAACCCCCCCTCCAACCCTAATCCCTAAACCCTAATCCTAAACCCTAAACCCTAAATCCTAAACCCTAAACCCTAAATCCTAAACCCTAAACCCCAAATCCTACATCCTAAGCCCCAGACCCTGACCTTAATAGCTCGTTAACAGCAACCCAGGGTCTTCGCATAGCTTGGACAAGGATGGCCATAGAATCGCGCCTGACCCCAAGAAAGGAGGGAGGGGTTTAGGGTTTAGGGTTTAGGGTTTGAGTATAAGGTATGTAGAGGGTTATTTAGGGTTTAGGGTTATGTTGCGGTAAGATTGGGATAATGGAAAAGAAAACGGAAACTACTATAATGGGGTTATTCAGGGTTTAGGGTTCAGCGTTTAGGGAACATATACGGGTAGATAGGGTTATAGAGGGATAATCCAACGGAAGATGAAATGGAAACTCGGTTGTAGCGCCACGATAAGGTAGGAAAGCTTCCAACTAAACCCTAAACCCTAAACCCTAAACCCTTAACAACCTAAGCCACCCCAACAGGTCATCAGGTGCTCTTCCGAAAGATCCGAAGGGTGGGGACCAGAACTTCATATGTTTCAGTTTCAGTTACGTTCAGGGTTTCGGGTGTAGCATGCAATGTTCAATTTTGACTTCGAAGGTCAGGGGGACTTATCAAGTAGCTACCAGGGGATATTATGTAGCTTATAGGGGTCATTACTCTATTTACGAAGTTCCCTTGATCCTCCGAGTAGGGTTTGCACAATGACGACTTGGCCGACCTTGGGCATTTTGGAGGACATGCACTCCAGCTCCTTCTGCGCAGCCTTGCTCAAAAATTCAGGGCTTGCGAATTCTAACTTGGGAATTAAGCTTAGGGATTTACCCTAGACCCGCAACCCTAAACCCTATAAACCCTACGTAAACCCCAAACCCCGTAAACCCTTTACCCTATAAACCCTTAACCCTAAGCCCTATAAACCCTTAACCCTTGTAAGCATCCAGGTCAGGTCTGCGACTCAGGCTCAAGGTTTCCATGTTATATCTGGGGTGAAGATCTGCAGATTCAGGGCTTAGGGTTTAGAGTAGATTTTTGCTTGGGAAATTGCATAAGAATGTTCTAGTGACCCCAACCCTAGATCAAGGACACTATAACTATCATATGACTACAAAAGAATTCTACCTCTAGGGGAGGGCGGAAACCAAAACTCCCCTAAACCCTGAACCCTAAACCCTAAACCCTAAACCTTGGGAGAGAAGGTTGAAAGGCAGAATCGGTGGGTCTGGTGCTGAGGGTTCGACGGCTTCTCGCACTAGCCACCTTCAAAAATGAAACTCATTATTTAGGGTTTAGGGTTTAGGATTTAGGGTTTAGGGTTTAGGATTTAGGCATTAGGGTCCAGGGTTTAGAGCATTACCAAGAAATCCTATTATTTGAGATACGCATACGTGCATATATATATATATATGTGTATCTCTCTCACACACTCTCTCTCCTCACTACGGTAACTAATGTAAACTCCCAAAATCCCTATATAACCCCTGCTGATCCCCAGTTGGCGTTGCAATTGCCTCTTTCTTTTCCATTTGATGCTCCATTATGGCAACTTACCCGAAGCGCGCTTGCGACAGCCTAACGTAAACCCTAATCAAACCCAAACCCTAGACCCGTATCCTTAGACCCTGAACCCCAGATCCTAAATCCTAAACTTTGGTCCTAATCCCAAAACCCTTGCTTGATTTGAGTCCCGAGGTATACCGGATGCAACACATCCCTAGCTTGCAGTACCGGCAGCGCAGCTGTCGAAGCTAGTGGGCTTACGGTTTAAGGCCTAGGTCCCACCATAATATTGGGGATTGTATAGGTAGATAATATAAGGATATATAGGGTCTAGGGTTTAGGGTTTAAGGCTTAGGCCCACAATAGAGAATCCATAAGGTTCATGACATCCTGCGGTACCTGGATGGTGGCAGGTGCTTGACTGGCGCCGTAGCGGTGGGCCAGCAGAACCTTTCTCTTGCCATGTTTGGCGTGTTCCGTGCCACATTGACGGCTACGAGCTCTGTGTATGCATCAAGCCGACAGAGAAGCTCTGCGCTGTCAGCGCACACCGCATCCGTATATGACGTTAGCGCCATTGAAATGTCTGGTTTGAGAGAGGCATCCAGGCCTGGGAAGGTTCGCTCGCACGTTAAGGCTCTGCGGCGTGTTCACCAGCAGAATGGCATTCAGCGAGGCCAAACAAGAACAGCTTTCCACTGGCACCTCGGATGGAGGTGCCTGACCTCTCTGAAACTGAACGCTCAACTAGATTGTTTAAGGTTTCAGGCTATATAGGGATAATGGAGAATCAGATCCACATCAAAATAGAGAATAGAATGGACCGAGTGGCGTTCCGGAGGCATGGGATTAAGGTTTGGGATGTGGGCTTAGGATTTTTTAGGGTCTTGGATTTGGGGCTTAGGATTTAGGATTGGGGGGTAGTTTACTAAGTCCTAATCCTGCAAGTCTAGCTCCAAAGTGCAACAAGCCTCAGGCTCCAAATCCCAAAAACCAAAACCAACCTCCACCAATCAACTCTCACCCTACACCTATATAATCCCCACACTGCCCCATAATAACCCCTCTGTAAAGAGCAGCCATATCATGGCCCACGACCCTAAATCCTAAACCTTAAGCCCAAAGCCCCAAATCGTATTCCCTTAAACAGTCTAAGCCCCAAAAACTCTACACCCCTGAAACCCTAAGCCCCAAATCCTGCACCCCTGAAACCCTAAGCCCCAAATCCTACACCCCTTAAACCCTAAGGCCTAAATCCTAAACCTCAAACCCTGAGCCCCGAATCCTAAACCCCTTACACGCCAAACCCTGTTGCACTCAGCGCTCTTTGCTGGTGGCCTCATGTGCGGCCATCACCGCAGAAGCGGGCTCCAACGAAGTGGCCTTGCAACTGCACATCTTAGGGAAGACCTGAGGTGGACCTCCCACCCAGTTTAGAGTTTAGGGCTTAGGGTTTAGGATTGTGGGAGTTGCAAAAAAAAATTGTGGCCAACTGCAGGAGGGGAGCTTTTCAAGGGGGACTGTATATAAAGGGGTTTTTTGGACCATGGGGAATCATATAACGGGCATACGAAGTTTATGTACGGTCCCTACACGGTAATTCTCCTCCTGTAATTGCCTGGTGTTCATAACTCGTAAAGTGCTGGTGGAAAATTGATTGAAAAAAAGATATTGAAGATATTGCAAGTTGAAATGGAAACCCCTATTTAGGGTCTAGAGTTTAGGGGAATTCCCTGGAAAAGAAGATGAAAAATGGAATGTTATTATCTGCAGGATTATTTCTGGAATTATATGGGAATAACGCCAGATAACTTGGGTAACTGTAACGAAGGTCAAAGGTTTCGGTTTGGTGTTTGGGGATTCTAGGGCTGTTTTAGGGTTTAGCTTTAGGGTAGGTTTGTTTTGGTGCATAAGAAAAGGGCGAAGATATCGCGTTCAAAAGGTTGGAGCACCGCTGGTCTGACCTTTACCCTAAGTTCTGAAGCCTGAACAAGAAGACTCTTGGGTTTCGGGTTTGGGGCTTAAGGCCCCGCACCTGAGCTTGGAGGCTCACGGAAACTACGTTTCAACTGGGCATATAACCCTACATAAAGGCAAAATGGCCTTAGACGGGTTACCGTTACCCCACCTGTTAGCAGGTGGTAGCGCCAGGAAAGTGTTGTTATTAAATCCCATGAAGTTCCCAATACCAAAGCCCAGCGTTTAAGGCTTAAGGTTGCGGATCCTGAGTACCGGCACTG